GAGCGTTATTGTGATTTATCCGAATTTATGTCGAAATAAAAATTGTTGTTTTTATGTGACTTAATACTGAAAATAAAATATAAAAATATTTTTATCACAATTCTTTAAAGATTTGACAAATAATACAATTAAAAATAAATTAAAAAAAGTTGGTGTTTATATCTTCTAAAAGTTTGATAGTGACAATTTTAACGTTTAAAGAATGACTAATATTGAACTAATATTTTACAAGAAAAAACTTAGTATAAATATTTAGCGAGACATTTTCATTTGTTGGACTGAATGCAAGAATGAAACAAATAACAGNCGAGACGTTTTCATTTGTTGGACTGAATGCAAGAAAGAAACAAATAACAACTCATTTATAACTGGTTGTCTTCTACAATTTTATCTTATTGCTAATTTATACTTTTACCTATTTGAATCTTAATTTTATACTATAATTGATTTTGCTATATTTATCATTTCTTTCACCATCGATACTCTTCTTAAAAAATAAATTAAGCGTTTTGTCAATTTAACAAATAAATTTTCTTATACGATAAATTTGTAAAATAAATTGAATTGGATTTGCTAATTAGTTAATTCAATAATTAATTATTTGTTCTAAACATTAAAAGAAATAACTTAGTTTCTATAATTTAAATTCTAAATATTAGATTATTCTAATTTTTAAATATTTGACAATAATTATATTTTTTTCCAATAAGAATTCGATTTTCAAATAGTAAGAAAAATCATATGTTTTGAATCTTTATTTGAGAATTTGTAATTGCTAACTCACGTTTTGTATAGTAAAGAATCTCATAGGAATAGTTCAATACAACTTTAATATTAATGGTCTTTAAATAAGGAAATCTAAATAAGGTAAAAGTGTTATTCGATTTTAAAGTCTCTTCCTACCTAGTTTAATTACGAAAAATATAATAATAAATTTTTAGGTGATCTTAAAATTCTTTAATTAGGAAATAATTANATATATATATATATATATATAGATCTAATTTAGTTAATTCAATAAATAATTTTTTTCTCATATATGCGTTATTTTACTTTCTTAGGACATATGCAAACATCTTATGAAAACTATTGTTATTTTTGTTATGCAATACAGAAAATAAATAACAAGTTAAAACTATGACATAATCANGTCTAATATAAAAAAAATTTAAGGGTAAAATAAGGGAATAACATTTCGCTAAGTGCCTTTATGCTTTTAATATAGTATAGATAGATAGATATAGATTTTATTGCTCTAATGATGAGATGTACAANCTTACTTATATGATGATTTTAAAAATAATAAAATTGAATTATTGTGCTCATTACTCTCTCCTTTTTAGTTTATGTGAATCTTTTCGCTTTTCAAGAGTTAATTTTACTATTCTTTAAAGCTAAATTGAATTAGATTAACTTGATATTTTAAAGTTAAAATTTAAATATTCAAAAACTATATAAGAAATACTATAAGTTGCAATTTTTCTTGTGCCAATATGATGAAAAAAATATTTTAAAATTTCGATAATTTGAATCTCGAAAAATAATTTTTTTTTGTACATAAACTGAAGCCGGTGGAGTAATTAATTCAAAGACTTAATTATTTGTTCTAACTATTAAAAAGAAATAACTTTATTTTTTTCGCATTGGGGCTTCGTTTTTGAACTCCTTTCCAACTTAGATAATATTTTTATCTTTATTAATTTTTTATAATATTTGAAACATACATTAACNAGTCCTCATATTTAGGATTTTGTATATATTTAAAATAAGGAAATATTTGATAAACAAATTTTTAGTTGACTTCAAAGTCCAAAATATTAGGGAAATGATTAAATGACTATTTTGTCTAGTATGAACTTTATCTTTAGAGGGTAAAAAAGGCGATCGACATTTCGCTAAGGGCCTTCGTGCTTTTAATATAGTATAGATAACTGGTGTTATGGTATGCGTTTTCGCGTGTATCCTATATCATAAGTATATAATTTTAAAAATATTAGTTAACTATATTAGATAATNTAAAAAATATTTAATTAAATATAAACCTCTCACTTTTATTTAATAGTAATAATATACAGAAGCTCCCCTTAAAATTCTAAGTGCACTATATAATAAGAATAAATGTCAAGCATTTCATTGAATTTGCCGTAAGGAAAAGAAACTCAATACTCCTACGCAATAATCCTATTTCTCAAAAATAATATTTTTTTAAATGTCCTAAATATTAGGATTTTCTATGTAATTGAAATAAGGAAAGATTTAATAACCAAAATTTTAGCTGATTTCAAAGTTATAAAATTTAGGAAAATAATTAAATTACAATTTTGTTTAATGTAAAGTCTATTTCTAAAGGGTAAAAAAGGCGAACGACATTTCGCTAAAAGCCTTCGTGCTTTTAATATAGTATATAGATGCAACTTAGGGAATTTATTGGTGGAAGAGATAAGGATTGAGAATGTAATTGCTATGGTAGGTGATATTTGTAGAAAATTGCTAGAAAAATGCATGTGAATTAGTTATTAAATGATAAGAGAGAATCTTTTGTCATGTGACAATTTTGCATTGGCTCTTTTTTTCTTTTCTTGATAATTATTAAAAAAATCTGCTCCTACTGAAAAGTAAATAAAATCAAGGTAAAATTACTACATTCAATATTTATTTTTCAAAACCTCTCACTTAAAATTAAACTAAGCTAAATAAAATTACATCTTTTTTTTTTGTTGAAACTTTTCTTTCTTTGTAAAATGAAAATAAAACTAATATTCTAAAATATGTAAATCTTTTTTGTAATTTTAAATTTATCTAAAATAGACCTATAAAAAGATGAAATAAAACTTAAATATTAAAATTAAAGTTAAAATCTATTTAAATACTAAAAAGTAAGTGGAAAAACCAAACATGGTAAAAAATTAAATGATCACAAGAACGAGAAAGAATGAAAAGTGGGGAGGGGCCAAAAGACCTCGGTGGGGTGGAATTTTTGTGTAAAAATGATTTTTTTATTTTTTTATTCGTTTTTTGTTATTTTTTTAATTGGAATCATCAAAGTTACTAGCTTTTTATAGCGTGCAATCACATACCCAACACAGTAATGCATATGCCACATAAACTTGGTCAACAGTCAGAGGTTTAAGAATATTGACTTTAAATGAATAAAAGTATTTAAATGAACCATCATTAAGTATGGGACCGGGATTTCAAAACTGAACAAGTAGAGATGTTTAACGCGCTATTCTGCCTTTTACTTAATGTAGATTACATCGAGAATTTTGCATTTCATTCAGAGCTTGAGTTTAAATGTCAAAGTCTTAAGCTTAAAATCAGATAAAATCTCCTTAAAATTGCAATTGGGTTTGGTTTTTATAGAGATAAAGGAAATTAGTAGAAATACGTAGGCAAATAGAAGCAAAATTTTGAGATCCCATCACTCTTTTCAACACTGCGCTGACAATTTTTTCAATCGAGCACATTAGGAGAAATTTGATGAAGGTAAAGAAAAACAGACCTTCTAGCAAATTTGGATGTGGAAGGCTAACTGAGATTGAGAAACAGAGATGAAATTGAGGAGAACTGAAGAAGAACTCGGTCAGAACCTTTTTTCCGATGGTTCTTGTTTTTCTTTTAATCTCTTTTTTTCTTTCTTTTTTTAAAAGCTTTTTTTGGTTTAAGTTAAATCCGCTTATCTACGTTTTATTCGTTACTTTGGCTGATTATCAATTTTGTGTCTAAATGACACAATAAAGATTTGATTAAAGTATTAAAATGGAACATACTTGAAATAGAGCGTTTAAGTGAAAATTATGAATAACTTTAAGGGGTTGCCGATGTATTTTGCCTTTTGAAGAATTCCATTTTTTTCAAAACATGTCTTTTACGGATAGGTCGAAACATCTCTATCCTTTTCGTCCGGTGTCATATCCTTGGCACATGGGACAACTATCGCCTCTACCACGTCCTCCTTAACGTCCCTTGTTATCTGGTGCAGAATTCATATTTTTTTCAAAAGTGCTTTTTAAAAAAAAAATTGCGGATATGCAATTTATGTTTGGCTAATCTATTTGAAAAGCAGTTTTGAGCAGCAATCAGATTCTTGATCAAGCTTTTAAAAAGTGCTTCTAAGTGTAATTTTCTAAGAAGTGCTTGCAGGGGAGATTTACTTTTTCCTGCTTCTCAAAAATTACTTCTGCTTCCACTCAAGCACATTTTTTTGCTCTAAAAGCCTTAACCAAACTCACTTTTGACCAAAATAAAGCACTTTTGGTTAAAAAGAAGCACTATCAAACATGTTATTAATCAAATAATTCTAATTTAAACCTCGAAAATGAAGAACATCTTGATAGAAATATCAACATCTTCTTAATAAACCTTTCTAGCACAATTTTGAATTAGTGTGGCCAGTAAATTACGAATATTGAATGATTAAATTTAAAAGGTACAACACTATGTCAAGTGACAAGGTAAAATAGATTCAATTAAACATGCACGAAAATTTGAATTGGTTAACCCGGGTTGTATGAGTGAAAAAAAAACTCGGGTCTTATGATTGAATCATGGTCTTATAATAACTTCTTTGATTATTTCATTAGGAACAGACATTGTTTTCCTAGAAGAAAATAGATGAACGAAGCAATAATAGTTTAATTGTAGAGCCTTCTCAAGCATTAATTCAAGCCTGAAAGGCATCATATTTAATCCATAATTATATTCATCAAATTTTCATGATTAAAATTCTCATAAGTGACAATCATCTCAGGACCTGGAAATGTTACCGCACTATTTACTAACCATCAAAATGAGTATGTGGTTAAATTGTTAAGAGGAATTTGTAGGTAATCTTTTCCTTTTTCTTTTAAAAAACTGTAGTACAAGTTTGATGCAAAATGGATACAACAAATGGTGACAAATAGTACCCTTTTTCCCATTTATGTGTTCTCATATGTCTTTTAAATATTTCGCAAATTAAGTATTGGTTGCAACGCATAAAATTAAATATACAACTAGCATTATTACAATTTACATTAATACACTAGTAGTAAGCACAAAGCAAGGATAGAAGAAAGATGTACATACATTAGCTAGGTGGATCACTATCTACGAGCTTGTAGAATTTAATTAATTAGGCCAGGGATCATATATCATATATAAATAGGGTTAACCCATTCTAATCCCTCATGATAATTATAAGTATTTTCAGCAACAAAAAAGAGATTATCCATTAATATTCCCTCCATTCCATACTCCCCAAGTAAAGGTGGCTGATCCATTGTAAATGATGAAGTACTAATTGGGCTATTGCTTGAAACACCATCACAATTACGCTCCAATAGCAGCTTTTGTATCTCATTTTCTGCTTCAGATAACTGTTCCTTCATCTTTATGACCTGCAACAAAAAAACGAGTATATATGTAAGGACTCAAATATGCCTTCACTAAAGGTGCTGCCATGGTATATATAATTGAAGTTGTATAGCGTATACAACAATTTAAGTTAAATTATTTTTACATCTAAAGGCTATTATTCTTTTTGTAACATACTAAAAAGAAAATGTTAAAATGGGAGTACTTAACTTTTCCTACAATCTTCACTTTATCGAATCAAACAACAATCGTGGTCCTTCTCGAGACTAGAGTCCAGGCATATGACTAAACATGGCTTTTTTCCTTCTTGTTTTTTCACGTCTCATCTGGATGTTCTAGCAATGTATTTTTCAAGTTATTTATTCCACTTTTTTTTTTTTTTAAACTAAAGATAGTTATTCCTAGTTATCTTTTTGTGATTCGACAGTTCAATTTTCTTCGCAATGCATACCGAACTTAAACTCTTTTAAAAATCCTCAGTATCCTAACACTTTATTTATCTGGATATACAAAACAAGTTAGAAAGACATTATTTATATATTACTCCTTCTTCCCTCTGTTTTAATTTATGTGTTTGTGTTTGATTAGACATGAATTTTAATAAAAAAAGAAAGATTTTTGGAGTTTATGGTCTAAAATAAGTAATAAGTAGATATTTTTGTGATTATAAATTATCTCATTAAGAATAAAATAAATATTTTAAAATTAAATATGTTTATTAATCTTTTTGAAACTGACTAAAAATAAAATAGTACTATTTGATACGTAGAGAGTATTATGTCAAATATAAAAAAATGTGACGTACCTCATTTTCAAGACGACATTTCTCAACAATAGCAGTGTCATGTTCAGTCTTTAACTTGGAATATTCCTCCTCCAGTTTCTTGTTTTTATAACGAGTTCTTCTGTTCTGGAACCAAACAGCAACTTGATGAGGATCAAGGCCAAGTTCAGAAGCAAGCTTGTCCTTCCTCTCTGTCTCCAGTTTGTGCTCCTCCTCAAAACTCTGTTCAAGAAGATTAACTTGTTCTTCGCTAAGCTTCCTCTTCCTCATGATCATCCCACTGCTGCTCCCTTCAACTTTGTTTTTCTTCCGTCTTCGCCGCGGTTTTGCCTCTCCTGATCACATTCCAAGACATCATGTCACGACATTGATAGTGCCAATATACAACAACGAAATAAAAAGGCAGTGCATCCAAGCATCTTGTATTCATGTACGGTCCAGAGAAAGGTCATATTCCTACGAGTGTGATGTAGACAATATACCCTAATATAAGTATTAATGGTTGCTTCCATGACTCGAAATAATTATAACAAGGATTTTCTTTTAAATAGTTTAAACTTTTAGACGAAATGATTGCACAATTCAACATAATATCACAGTAAAGTAAGCAATAAATACTCCTAAGGTCAAATCTCACTGTTGCATGCCTAAAAAGTAAGAGAATTATTTTTATGTTTTTGACCCATTATAAAGAATCAAGCCCACGTGAGGAGTGAAAATATAATGAAATGATTAAAAGTATGCTATTTCTAATAACTTCAACTTTTAGACGTTATAGTCTCATGATTCAACAAAACTATGTACAACTCCCCTTTTAGTCGTTCGAGACTAGGTAATAATCTATTTATTTTAATTTATGTGAACCTATATGATTGGGTACGGAATTTAAGAAATAAATAAAGATTTTTGAACTTGTTGTGTAAAATTATGCACATATTTTGTGCGGTTATAAATCATTGAATAAATATAAATTATTTTCAAATATGGAAACGGGTCATTATTTTAAGCCAGGACTAAAAAGAAAATAAGTTCACATAATTGAAACGGATGAAATATAAAGATAGAGTAAAAGATTTCCTGCTAACCTGGTTCCGATACCAATTGGTTGTATATATCAGGATAGTACTGAGAGATCAGTACCATTTGATCATCAAGCTGGTGAGTCATGCTGCTTTACATAAACCTTTTCCTTTCTTTCTTTCTTTCTTTCTTTCTTTAGTTCCTTTCTGTCTGCCTTTCTTGTTATGTTGAGATGGAAGTGAATAGATAGTGAAGAAGCAAGGAAGAAAAAAAGCGACTTTAGAGAGTATTTGGTCTTGGTGTGAGTATTTATAAAGCTAGCCCTCTGAAATGAACCTCTATTCTCTTAACAATAAATATATTCAGATTCCATGTGTCAACTTGTTTGGAATATATACCAACAACAAATCTAGTGAAGTTTTACAAGTAGGGTATAAGAAGAATAGTGCGTACATACATGTATCCTACTTTGGGAGGATAATATAAGCCGAAGGATAAAAAAAACTTGAAAGAGTTTTAAGTTCTGTAAATGCATGATGGTGAAAATTATTTCTACAATCAGATCACTTATTATATAGTTATAGGTAATTTTTTAATTAATAGTATTAGTTAGTAATCTGGTAACTAAAAATAGTAATAACTCGCTACCGCAATTAGCTGTAGTTAGTAATCGTTTATATATACTTTTTGTGAATATAATTTCAGTCCTAGTAAAACGTTTGGTGAATAGTTAATTAGAATATATCGAGTCTTACCTAAGCCATTACATCATGTATGATCATACCAATTCCTACTTTAAAAAAAATAATAAGAAACCTAGTATACCTTTGGGGACTGCGGGACAGATCATCAACCAATAGTTGGGCAGATCAAAGACAGGATTCTCGTTCCCACTGATGTAGAACCCGTTTAAACTAGTAATATTGATCCTCGTATCAAAGAAATAAGGAACGCCAAAAGCAGTGATCCAGGGAAATTCAGGATCTGTCATCTAAAAATATGTCATGAACTAGTAAAGTTCCATTTAAAAAATTAAATAAGTTTCCTGTTACTTCTTCATTTTCATTTTTCGTGTGAGTACTTTTGTGTTTTGTGGAGATGCTAGATCTCTTGTAATGGACTAAGAATAAGTACATTTATAGCTTATTTCTGGTATACCAAAAAAAAGGGAGGGGAAAAAAGAGCTTTGTTCCCAATCGTTTGAAAGTCTACATTTTACCATAATTTAGCTAATATCACCAGTCTGGAAATTAAATATTTTAGTAACTGAAATTTTTCACAATAGTTATTGGAAAAAGATAAAAGAACTAAAAGATTCTTTGTTCAGTGCTTGAAAATTGGTGATAATTTTAGTTCATTATTTGGATAACACAAAGGGGCTCTGGCAACACACATGACTGTCAATGGATAAGTAGTACTACGTAAATTCATCTTTCTGAATTTTTCTAGTCTTCTGTGTTCTCATTTTGTCTACAAAAGAAAGAACAGAAAATGAAACGAAACCATAGAGGGCCCCTCTAAGTTTAGTTTTGATGCAACAAAGATAATTCATCTCAAGAAACAACATGATTAAACAATGTGGATAATTGACTATCAGATCAGCTAGTACTATACATATGACACCACCTCACAAATATTTAGGGCTTGTTTTAGATTATAAATTTCAATTTTTTTATTTTTTTTTTAAATTTTTGGTGTCTAGTCAAATAATGCTACGTAAATTAAGACGGAGGGGGAATAATATTCAACTTTTCATTTCTTACAACAACAAAAATTCAGCATCGCTTCTCCTCTGTCACACCCTTCGTCCATTTAATTGACAGTAGGGAATAAGATGAACAGTAAGACACAGTTAATTACTATTCTCTATTTAAATTTGAATTTTTATGTCATGTAATGTTAAATTTAAACTTCTTCTTTTACGATACCATTTTATAATCATAAGAATATTATAATATATATTTATAACCACAAATTTTTATAAATCTTTTTCCTTTTTTAAATTTCGTGTAGAGTCACACACCGTACATAAAATGAGATGGAGTGACAAATATATAGTTGGATATCACTGAAGAAGAACTTTAGGCGCAGTAAGGCCAATATGAAGGGAAGAATGAAAAAGAGAGCAGCTGCTGTTAGAAAATAAAATAAACAAAATTGGCTTTGAGGCGTGAAAATCGACTGTCCTTAAAGAGTTATCGCTTGTATACTAATTTAGGGAAATACAAAACGATTCTCTTCAGGATACAACAAAGCCTGCAATAATACTTGTGATTTTCTATATCATTTCGTTGGAATTCTTGTGTATTTATAGGCAACCAACAGACCTTTTCAGAAAAGATGTCTTGTTTCACAAACAGACACGACTATTTATTCGAATTTTGAATTTAAAATTCAAATAAATTTGATTTTTCTGTTAAAAAATAATTAACTTTAGGATCTCGTGCCTGTTGAGTCAATTTCGTGCCTGTTGAGTCAGTCTCGTGCCTGTTGAGACAATCTCGTGCCTGTTGAGTCAATCTCGTACCTGTTATGCGCTATTTCATAATGATCAATTCCGAGACTAACAGGCACGGTACGAGAAAGAAACGTCCCACTTCCAACTTGCCAATAACAAACTATCTTACAATCCCCCACTAGTTTGTTATTTCACTTCATAACACTTGTGAATAATTGAAAGTATCTTTTACAGATTTGAACTTTCCTTTAGTGTAAGTATATTAAAGTTTTGACGAAGTTAATGGTATCTTAAGATTTGAACCACAAATCCTTGTGCCAAAACCGAAAGGACCACACACACAGCATTATCTTGTAGCTTAGAAAATTCAGTATTCGCTTTAGCACGTTTACAGCCATGTGCTCATCCTGAATTCATGAATATTTACAAGATCAACCCTTTAAATCTTGCTAGAAGCGGCACCACTTCAATATTCATATAGGTGGAANTCTTATATAAGCATGTCTCAAGCTTATATGTCTCGATTTCCCATTATATATTTTATTGTGAGCAACACACATTGTAGTCTCACTATCACAGAATATGGAAATGGCTGGCATAGGTTGTGGCCACAACTTTATATCAAGTAACATATTCCTTAGCCATTCTGCTTCTTTTCCACAGCTGCTAATGCAATAAATTCAGATTCCATAGTAGAATGAGAAATACATGTTTGTTTCTTTGATGCCCAACTAATGGCTCCACCGCCTAGAGTAAATATCCAT